TTTTTTGACTTTTTAAAACGGCAACACCGGCGATAGCTGTCAAACTCCCGGTCCGCAATCCCTACACTCCCACTCAGCGTTCCCCACTCCCCCACCCCACGCGCGGGGCGCTGTCGTCATTCTCAAGTCATTCTTCGTTTTCGTGCCGTAGCCTTCGCACGTACATTGCGTTCGCGCTAGAACGTTTCGCAAAATTACCGAGCAGTCCTGGAGTTCCCGCCGTCCCAGTGTTCCCGCCGTCCTGCTGTTGCCGCCGTCCTGGTGTTCTTCCCGTGGATTCGTCAGACAGCGAGGATGTACGACGAATAAAAGTGATGCGTACTGCCAATTTTGGGCTGCTACTGTCACGAAAATATGTGATGCGTACTGCTAAAGTATGGGCTGTTACTGTCACATTAATATGTGATGCGTACTGCTAAAACTTGGGCTGTTACTGTCACTCATGCATAAATCGATGCGAGCAACTTTTGGGTTGTCTCTGTCGAATAAATCAAAAATATGTGATGCGTACTGCCACTACCCCCGGGCTACTACTGTCACAATATATTTTTGAGCTGCAACTGCCGCTTACTTCATCATCGATGATCACTGTGGTTTCGAAAGTTCATCCGACGCCTGCTGGTAAGGGTAAGTCTACTTCTGTCATCATTCTAAATTATGACAATCTGCAATTACATGGAGATGCTCCTAAAGCTGAAGTTGCGCTTTGCGATCTTGTTTTCAACTCGATGGCAAGAAATGTTGTCCAAAGGACCCGCAAAAGATGCAAAGATAATATTCTTAACGAATATTTTGTGCCAAGCAACTGCAAGCTTTTGCTTTTACCCACTCTCAACCCGGGGATATATCCAGCTGTCCCGGATACTTTGGCAAAGAGAGATAATTACCTACTTTGTGTTTTCACAACCAGAAACTGTTTGGTATGTATAGGTATTTAAGCCCTGGCTTCTGCTACTCACCCGAAAAACATTTAATCTATCGGTGATGTTTGTCACCTGCTTTGTGACCAAAACTCGATGTAACTTTGTAATTTCGTCAATCAATGCCATAGCAAAGAAACACTAAAAGGAACAACATGAAATAACTTTTTATTTGGCGTAAATCCAAAAACTTTAATGCCTCTGATCATTTAGATACATGTACTGAAAAATGAAATTCAGAAAAAGATATTCATAAATTATAATTGTATATTTGTATTGCAGTTTTGGACGACGAGCTGGCGGCCTGTCGCTATGGTCTAATGACATTTGTTAGACGTGGTGTAAATACTCGATTTATATTTTTTGCAGCTGTTTACACTCTGCCTACTCCACAGGATGGCCAGTAATGGCCATTATGTATGTATGTATGTATGTAGTTTTGAACCGTTTAGAGCAATCAGCGACACAGCCCGTGGTCGTGCGGGCGTCAAAATGTGAGAGCTCCCCCGCCGTCATCGTCGAGAAACGCTTGGAACGCCGGTAGCAAGAATGACCGCTCGTCTGTACGAAGTAATCAACGCAGGTACTGTACGCTGGCTAACTACAATATTTCTGTCGAAAATGAGCTAGTATAACGTCTGTTACTACCTAGTTAGACTGGATTGAGGGTTACAAAATACCATTTCAATCAACTTCTTTTCGGACAGACTATCCTAGTAGTATATTTCCGGAGTCACTACAAGAGTCATCTGTTTATCAGAAATGTATGAATAACTTACTCGAAATTAATTAAATTGATGCAATATCTGCTTGTTGACATGTTGAAGACGAGTTCATATCCAATATGTTTCTGGTACATAAATCGAACGGTAGTAAAATTTTATACTAAATATCAAAACATTCAATTTCTAAATATAAAATTGTCGTAGGTGCTGTGTCCAAACTCGTAACCCATAAATGCTTTATGGCAACATTGGTCTTAACAGTTGCCTATCTTCTGATTCCTATTCACGAATCTCTTCAAGAATACGTTTTGAGTATGGAGATCATATATAATTATAAGTTTATCTACCTACACACCGTATGTGTTTTCAAAACTTTTTGAACTTGAAAATATTAAGGCCCAAAGGCTTGATATCAGTCATTTTCTTAGATTTACTTAAAAGCAAAGATAAAAACAGTTCATTTTTTTTTAACAATATTAAAACAACAACAAAACTTATTGCAAGATCAAGCTTTCATGGTCTATAATTTTTGACTCAGTTAGAATGGTAATGGCAAATAAGCCTACCCTCTGTAAAGAAAATTAAGAGTAAACAACATATTATACATACACACACTTTTTAAAATAAACAATCACAAAATTTAGATATTTTGCAAGGTTCCTTGGCCTACTTATATCATCTAAGTATTATGAAGTACTCTTCGCTGTAATGTAAAGAATTTGAAAATTCTATATATTTTATTTTATTTTATTATTATAATAATTTTCAATTATGTATTCGGTGCCTTTTGGGAAGACAACAAAAGTTTTGGGTAGTTGCTGGAAAAATATAGAACAATGTTACACATTAATGAGTTGAACTTAAAGCTATTCTTCTTGCTTGCTGCTTTACATAAGATTTATATGACTACAATGTTTTGTTTGGGCTATATTATTGTTACACCTATTTCCATTATTAATCAAATATTATAATCTAATCAAATTTTCGGACGAATTTGGAAATGGGGTAAGGAACGTTAAATTACATCTTAAATAATAAGCAGACATATTTATTTATGTATATTATAGGGCAGGCAATTGTATTTACACACAACATTCACAAGTAATTCAGCACATATTATTATCACGTAAATCTTTTCAAGACACTGAAAAGATGTTTAGAAGATACCTTTTTTGTCTAAACTATAGTCTGTCTTGGATTCTCAGACATTGACCTATTTTCTAGTTGATTTAATGCAAAATGTGATCAATGTGTGTCACGGAAAAATAACCCTGACATCATCATCTTCCTGCCCTTATCCCAATTACTTGGGGTCGGCGCAACACGTTTTGTTGAACACAAAATCCTGTTGCAAAGGAAATAACCCTGACATTTTGAAAGTAAATGCTTTTACTTTTTCATGAAAACATTATATACGCTTTTCTACCTTTTTCTCCCATTATAAAATTTTTGCACTAAATTATTTAAGAAATGCCTTAAGAGATGCCTGAAATACTTGTTGTAATGTACCATACTGAACCACACAATTCTGGTTCACAAATTTGCCAAAAAACTAGCTATTTCAAAACAATTAATGTCTTTCGGCCTTTATTCAAACATGCTATCTTGATGTTATATTCAAGATCCGTTCATATTATGATCGCATAATTTGCTGATAGTACCCACAAACAATATCATGGATGTTTTAAAGTATTAATTAGTTACAATATACATAATTTTATTATACAAATCCCTTAATACCTAAAACAAAAAACATAAACAGGTTTTAGACAAAGAAGCCAATTGATGTGGCACTTTATTCCTATCAATCTGTTTTATCGTTAATATCGTCATCGCATCGCTTCATGAAAGGGGTTTACAGACTGAGATCTATTATCCAGAATATTATAAAATCGGTGAATAAAAATTATCTGGCACTACAGTGGCCAAATGAAAGTCCCAGTCTGGAAACTTTTTCAAATATACAGTAAGTTTATTAGCTTTCGTAACAGCCCATTAGGTTTAGATCAGACTTTTTAAAAAACAAAGAAAAACATCTCAAGAAATAAAATACCTAATTCTTATTAGCCTGTTGTTAGACAACCATTTCACACTCAATGTCTATTTGCCCAGCAAATAAGCAAAATGTTTATTGGAGTAGGTACACCAATAAAACAAATTCAACCCGTCAATGAGATAACGTTTATTTGTTTATAAGTCATTGAAAATCTTATGCTAAACTAAACTACCCTCCAAAGGCCGTAGTCATAAATTTTTAAACACTTCCCGCGTTAGGTAAAAGATAGGTACTCTTCTTGCCAGTTGCATAGATACCTCAATATTCTGTGCTCATAGTACTTGACATGCTTCATCGTCTAGCAGACTTGGTGTTTCATAGATGTTGTTAGAAAAACGGCTAGTTGGAGTAAATACTCTTCAGTTTTTGAAAAATTGCAATTTTCATACTTTCCGGGTAAAATCTGTAAAGGTATAGATTGATTTCATTTTACATGTTCGCAAGTTAATACTAGTGTCGGTATTTGCAAATTAATTTGTTTTGTTTTTTGTCATTATATTGTGTTGACATATTCAAAAAACTAACACTTAACTATTTCATATTTTTGTTGTCTCTGAACATCTACACCATGTAAACAGTAAATCGCAAAGAATGAAGCTGCGAAATATAATTGAAGATCAAACGAACTTACCTGAAGTGAAGTTCGATCCCAATTATATGAGCAGCTTCATTCGACGCGATTTACTGACACCCTCCCAAACTCACTATATAATTTTATATCCCAAACCCTCACGTAAAACCCCAAAAATATTGAAATAGTTTTCTCTAAACTAATGACTTGAGAATGACGACAGCGCCCCGCGCGTGGGGTGGGGGAGTGGGGAACGCTGAGTGGGAGTGTAGGGATTGCGGACCGGGAGTTTGACAGCTATCGCCGGTGTTGCCGTTTTAAAAAGTCAAAAAAGATAAAAAGCACACAAAATCTTTTTTGATTTATTTTTATTCTTTAAAAATTCGTGCAAGGCTAATGCGTGGAGGCGAACCTACACCATGTAAACAGTAAATCGCGTCGAATGAAGCTGCTCATATAATTGGGATCGAACTTCACTTCAGGTAAGTTCGTTTGATCTTCAATTATATTTGCCCAAAGTGTCCCACTGCTGGACAAAGGCCTTCTAGACTATACCCTAGATTGCATTGGTGACTTTATGACCGGCCGCCTGCCTGGCGACAACCCTCTTTGGGAATGCTTGTAGGTAGTATGATATCACACCACCTTCTTCCTAATTTGTGGTGGTATCACTGCCATCATCATCATCAAACCACATCCACTCATCCACCCACTGCAGGGTGACATCCGATGTGACGCAATGGTTAGTGCGACTGCCTGCGACGCAGAAGGTTTCGGGTTCAAGTCCCGGTGGGTCACTCACAAAGTTGATATTATCACTTTGTGAATTTGTTCCCAGTCTGGTTAGGACATTGCAGGCTGAACCACCTGATTGTACGAAAAGCTAGATGGATCCGTGCTTTGTATGGGCATATTAAGTCGTCGGTCCCGGTTGCTGTCTATGAAGGCGGTGGTCGTTACACAACTATTTCAGAAGAGGCCTGCTTTTTGCAGTAGGCGGTTGCATAACTCTGACACTAGGGTTCATCGGGTCGTGGAACCACTTGGTGTCCCACTCGAAGAAGTATAGGCCTCTTCTAATTTTCTAATCGTGCTGTGCCAATCTCTGACCATTAGTCGACAGATATTAAGCCGAGGTCAAAAATTCTACTCTTTTAGCAATGTAAAATAAATTTTATTAATTTCAGCTTTATTTACAGCGTTATTTCTTATCTGCAACTGCGGTTTTTATGTGAGCACTTACGTAAAGTAGATTACTAAGTACTTTTAATAATTATAATAAAATATAACCTACCTATTATTATTTTCCTCAGCAACTGAGTTACCATGATTAAGTATTATCTATAGGTATAGGTGCACTAGGAATGCATTTTTTTATTGTTACTAAGTAGTTATAAACATAGCCCACATAGAAAAGTTGTTAGGTTTCATGGTCTGATGATCATGCTTTTAAGTTTTCGGTACACCGGTCCGTCGTAATACTTACATTACACGTTCAGCTCTTGTGGTGTAGGTAGAGCGTTAACGCACAAAGTAAGTATTGGCTAGCGCAATGTTAACGGCTGTAAAAATACTGCCGTTATCTAACGCCACGCCAGTAACGTCACGGCAGACAGCCGTGTGGTGCCGGCAGAATAAAATAGCACCACCCCCTCTCTTCCCGTGGGGCTCGTAAGAGGCGGCCGAGGGATAAACCCGACCCAAACAGCCAGGGCCAACCGTATGGTGGCGGTTAATTCACCACAAAAGCATTCCCAAGGAGGGTTGACGTCTGGTAGGCGGCCGGTCGTAAAATTAAGCCAAATCCTTTGCAACACGATTTTGTGTTCAACAAAACGTGTTGCGCCGACCCCAAGTAATTGGGATAAGGGCAGGAAGATGATGATGATCTAACGCCACGTCTTACGAATATCAAGGCAGATTTAGAAGAACAGTTTGTTGCATACACATGAAACTGATAAAACGTGCTAGTCCCTTAAGATGGATCATTTTCCATACAAAATTTAAATGGAGTTACGTCTTTAAATGAGACAAAATTATGATTAAAAAACTTGATGGGAAGTCCCGTGCTTTTATAACATTTTCGCAAAATAAAACAAGTAATTTTTTAACCATCAGATTTCTCTGTAAAAACCGTGTCGCCACTTAATGAACATAGATGGAGCTACTGCTGCAATAAACACGTTTAATTTTTTTGTGGAGAAAATACTTGATATTTTTTTACGTTAAGCAGTTTTGCGACATATTTACGTGTGCCTTCCTCGTCTCACATAAAGATTTTTTGATAAAATTGTTGTTTAGGTCATGTGTAACTCGGTTGAAGTTCAGATTTTAGTTTGTATGACGTAACGATCCCCCTTAACATATGCCCTCTAGCGGTAACACAACGAACCTTTTCGCCCTCGACAGTCCACGTCAGTCTGGGCGGAGGGACGCCCGACGAGGTACAGTAGACGGTCGGTCGGGGCGAGGTTTCAGTCGGAGCGTTCTGGTTCACTATGGCCGTGGTAGGTGCCGCTGAAACAAATAAAGTTTGTGTAAAAGTTTTGTCTACGCACATAAATAGATCACAGAATTCTTCCTTGCGGGGTAGGCAAGGCGCAAACGGTCTTAAAATTCTTCAAGAGTCGAAAGACAGTATACTCTTCAACCTCCAACTGAAAGGTGGGTCGTTCTCTTGAAGATTCACAACGGTAAGTGTCCTCTGTAACGTTAAGGCGAGGTTCCACGTTCACCAAACCGAGGTTGTAAGACGCTTACCAAAGACAGTGTACTCTTGAGCCTCCAACCGGAAGGTGGGTCGTTCTCCAGAAGATTCACAACGGTAGGTGTCCTCTGTAACGTTAAGGCGAGGTTCCACGTTCACCACACAAACTCCTCGTCTGCCATCGAGGGTGGACATCTCACACTTAGTCGTCGTCATGAACTGGACGGATCTTGACACTTCTTGGTGGATTCGGCCGTGTATCTGCAATATTATTTAGAGAGTGTCAGATTTTTGTAAAATATCTAGGTACTTATTCTCGTAATAGTTGGTTCTCTGGATCGGAAACTCCGCCCTTAAAATCAAAAAGTATTTCGTTTGTAGTTACGGGGTTCTGGGACACGTGTCCCCGGTGATCCTATTGTGAATATGAATTTTATGACTTTGTAATACGGAATACGCCCCTGCCACTCAATTTTTGGATTGATTTGCCCCCCTTAAATCTTGCCGCTCTAGGCCCAGGCAAGGGAAAATACACCACTACTGAATACCCAAATATTAAAACACTTCCCTTGTTAGGTATACAATTTAGGAAAACTTGCAATATTTACACCGCAGGCTGGATTTCAACCCGCGACCTTCGCCATCTGTACTAGCGACGCCTCTACCAACTGGGCTACAAAATTTTCTGAAAATGCTGCAAGTTTTCCTAAACACCGCTACTGGTTGGACTGTTTTGTTGCACGTCACCGTACATCCTTCATAAAGGATAAATTAACCGCTGGGAGTTAGCATTCATAAAATAACATATTTTTGCCGATTCTGTAAATATAGATTGTCCGAAGGGTGTGAGTGAGTAAGGTTGTAAGGACCACTTTGCCTTTAGCTGAAGTTCAGAGGGTAAGGTAGTTTCTACGGAAAAAGACAAAAGATATTTACTTCTGGTCTGTAGACAAGGAACTGGTAGCCATTCCTGTACATCCTGACGGACTGGAGGGTGTCATTGGGCAGGGTCTCCCAGGAGCATTCCACGTTCCACCCAAACCCCTCCTTCCAGTCTCCGCGGAGAGTCAGCTTTGCTGTTGATAAACCTGAAAAGAAAGTAATTGGTCAAATTAGTTTTGTGAAGAAAACAGCTTTCCCTATGGAAATCTTATTTTGAAATTGCTTGGTAGTTGATCTAGCTTTAGATATGATTTGCTGCGCCTATCCTCGCTTTAAGTACCTATAATATCGTTTCCTCTACTTTTTAGCTCACCGCTAGCAGATAGGCAGTTAAATTATTTATGGTTGCCTAAAAAAGTATAATGATTTACTAACTACCCATATACGTGAACACTGACCTCATTCGGCACATAAATTTGGTTAGATACACAAATTCCCTTTTTTATTAATTCCCGTCCACCTTTGTTGGGGCTATCGAGTAGATAAGTAACTAAGAAGATAAGTAACTAATTCTCTTTCTTTTACCTACACAAAAATCTTGAATTATGAAGCACCTCAACAAATTTAAACAAACTAGTTTCGTTGTATTAAGAAGTTTGTAACGGCACTGCAGTCGTAGTAGCAGTCCCCTACATAAACAGTTTTTATTTTTTTAAATTAGACAAATTACAAGAAATGCGAAGGGGAAGCGGCGCCATCATCGTATTTCATCAATTCTGTATGAGTTGTAAGTTTGTAACGGCTATTATACTTACTCTGCAGAGAGGGCCCGATTCTCATACATTGCTGGTTATTTTAAAGGGACAGACACACCGCCTGCGTATGCAACTCGTATGTGTGCAAGTCATAACGCGTATCGGTTGTATTGTTTACGAGAGACGGCGCACTGATTGCGTTGCGTAGGGCTCGCTAGCAGGGCCACGCAGGGCCCGAAGTCTGCTAAATATAAACCTTTTCAGTTGGTTGTCGATGTCATGTCATGTCTGTTCGGAAGTTTCATAGTCTGCTAACAGGTTTTAGTATAGAAAATCAGAATGGCAATAAATTGACAGTTGAGTGTCGCTGGCATTACAATGGCTAAATATTAGCAGCACCTGGTCTGCTAATATTTAGCCATTGTAATTGCATGCAGACCATACATCACAAACGGTACGCGCGTGATGACGAGCACGCATGCGAGCTGCAATACGCAGGCTGTGTGCCTTGCCTTTATTGTAATCAATACCCCTATAGAAGCCAGCTATGTATGTCAAATCATGCTCCGTCGGCAGGCAAAGTGTTAGCCACTCAAGTCTGTTGTATTAGTATGACTCGGATGCTTCAAAGTGGCTACTGACGATTGAATTGTGTTGTGTTTTGAGATAACTTTCGATTTGTTTTGTTGTGTTAGGTGTGATTTAGGGTGGCGGAACTTGAAAGACAAATGTATGTATAAGGTGGAATGTTTTGGTTTTATGAAAAGGATAGTGAAATTGACATTGTGGTTACGTACATACATACATAAATCACACCTTTATCCCTAACGGGGTAGGCAGAGCGTCAACGGCCGTAAAAGTACGTTCTTCATCGCCACGTCTAACGAGAAATTGTCGTGTATCACTATAGTGACAGGTTGTCTACATGTCGCCTAAAATTGCTATACTTACACATGTAACCTTCGAGTCCCTTAGTCGCTTTTTACGACACCCATAGGAAAGAAATTTGGCTATACTTTCTAAGCCGGCATCACACGACATTCTCGTTGTCATGTTTTTGCAAGAAGACGAACAATCCAATAAATCTCGTAAAAGTAAAAAAAAACGATTCTAAAAAGTTTTTATTTAGGTTCGCAGTTGACCATCCAAAATCGGCCCTTGAAATTGTTTGTCGATCAAGATAACACCTTTCCTAGACAATTAAATTTTACATTAGCAATAAGGCCATCCTGCATAAGCCTGATTGTATTCTAAAGCTCAAAGCGCTTAAAATGTATTCCCTGCGTTAAAACTCTCCAAGATCGCTTAAAGACACAAGGGACAGCGCGTAATTCGCTCAATTGGCCGGTCGTGCGCTCCTTAATACGTTAATGCGCATATTAGGGGCGCAAGCGAATGATATTCGTCAACGCGCGTGTTTTTGATGCGCGCTCGTGTTTGTGAATGCGGAAGT